GCCGGTGAGCAGGGCTGGGGTCCTCCATTCAGCCCTGAGTTTCCCCACGAAATATTCGGGCCCTTCAGGGTTCTGTGCTGATTCTATGACCCACGGCTTCTAGGTCCACGGAACAGCCGTCCTCTGTCTTCAGCCACAAATCAAAGCTGGTGTCTCCACGCTGTTTACTAGTATAGACGCTCCACAGCTCTGCAGGGACGTTCCCATGAGTGTGGGCAACACCCGGGAGACAATGTCCTGGTGGAGGCGGCTCTCCTCCTCAGGGAGCACCTTCCTGTGGGGACCCCTCAGGGGATCGGTATGACTCCCAGGGGAGGAAGGCTCTGTGAGACCCCTTCCCACATCCATCCGGACCTGCCTGCCATGCCCTGCACCTCCTGGGATGTCCTGCGGCCACGCCCTCCCCCCCTCTTGGGGCTCTGAGGACCCGCCCCAGCCCTGCCCTGCACGGTGGGTCTCAGGCCTGGAGGTCTTGGCTCCCACAGGAGGTGCCTTCGGAGCTCCCTGCTGAGATGGCCTGTTCACCTGCGCACCCAGCTCAGGACTAAAGCAGCAAGGAAGAGGCCGCCCCCTGCCCTTCCCGGGGACAGTGGGGCGGGGATGGTCCTGGGACGCCCACAGGGCTGGCCCCTTCCACCCAGGCCTGGCACTCATGATGGGGTAAAGACGCCACAGCTCCCGCTGAGGACTCAGTCCTCGGAGAAGCCTGCTGGAGGGTCCGCAGGAAATGGACGCCTCACTCTCCTGATTCAGACTGGGTCTGAGATGTGGAGCAGCTGCAGGGTAGGTACCTGGTCCTCCAAGGGCACCTGGCAGCCAGAAGCTGACTTTGAACTTCAGGCCCTGAGGCCTTAGTGCGGCTGCAGTACTGAAAGTCTCCACCAGGCGCTTCCCATCGCATTCCCAAGTTCATGGCTATTGCCGGCTGACAGCACTCAAGGACCACATCACAGTGACTAGATTCCCCTGAGGATATGGGGCCCATGGATCTGCGGGGAGGGGGGCGATGGGCAGCTGCAGCCAGAGGTGCAGCACTGCCAGGAGCAGCAAGGGCCCAGCAGCACCAGCCCTTGTAGTGTTGGCCGCCCAAAGCCCCACCTGGAACCACCATCGCGCGCTGGGCCCTCCCTTTTCCAGTTCCTTGCGGTTCCCGGCCTGCACCTGGGCTCCTCAGAAGCGGTGGCGGCGGCTGCGGAGCCCCCCCTCGCTGGCCATGTCTAGTGTTTTTAAAAAATACAAGACAAAATTAGCCCTGGCTGGTGTGGCTGGGTTGGTTGGATCATTGTCCTATATACCAAAAGGTATCTATCTACCTAACTGTCTATATCTGTCTACCTACTTACCTACCTACGTACCTATCATCTATCATCTACCTCTCTCTCTTCTCCCCTCTCTAAAATCAATAAGTGTATCCTGGGATGAGGACTAAAGTGGATCTAAATAAATACAATAAAATAAGCCCTAGTTGGTTTTGCTCAGTGGATAGAGCATCAGCCTAAGTACTGAAGGGTCCTGGGCTCAAGTCCAGTCAAGGGCACATGCCCCAGGGATGAGGGCTCAATCCTCAGTAGGGGGCGTGCAGGAGGCAGCCCATCAATGATTCTCTCTCATCATGATGTTTCTAACTCTCTCTCCCTCTTCCTTCCTCCCTGAAATCAATAAAAATGTATTAAAAAGAAAAAGACAGAATTCAAATATAATGCAATGCACATAAGTTTGGAGAAGTATAAATGGAGTTAAAGTATTTAAACTTCCTTGTATTATCATTATCCATGAACAGAGAGGAAAAAGTAGCAATGTATAACACAAACCAACAACAAACATATAACCAAGTTCAGTTTATCTGAGAAACACAAGGTTGGTTTAACAAGAGCAAATAATGTAATTCACATGGACACATTTTTAAAGATTGATTTTAGAGAGAGAGGATGGGAGAGAGAGAGAAAGCAAAAAAAACACATTGATTAGTAGTTCCACTTATTTATACATCTATTGGTTGATTCTTGCATGTGCCCTGACCAAGGATCAAACCCACAACCTTCTGACCAACTGAGCTAACCAACTGAGCTACCTGGCCAAGGCCCACATTAACAAAGTTAGAAAACAATTAATAGATGCAAAATATGCATCCAGTAAAATTCACCATTCATTCATGGTAAGACTCAGGGAACTTCACATAATTGTAGCAGACAGACTCAGAAGAGGATGACCTCATCATATCTGCTTTTTGGTGTCTCACCCTTTACAATTCTTTTCCCTTGAGTGTGGGCAGGATCTGCGATTTGCCCCTAGCCATTAGAATATGCAACTGTAAAGGGATTTTGCAAATGTAATGAATTCGGTTAATTTTGAATTACTCAAAAGGAGGATTATTCTGGTGAGGTTGATTCACTCAGATGAAAACCCTTAAAAGAAGACTGAGGACACCAACCCCAGCCCGGCTGCCCGCTCCCCGCCAGAGGCCAGCAAACAGACATCCACGGAGGCAGAGGAGGAACCCGCAGAACCCAGGGCAGCTGCCGGCGTCGCTGACTCGCCCCATCGGATCGCTCACAGCCCGGCCCCCTCACGGGAG